GCTGGTGCTGATAACCCACCCTGTGTGTGTGTGTCCCACCCAGTGAAGGAGTTTTTGGCCCGGGCGAAGGAGGATTTTCTCAAAAAATGGGAGAACCCAGCCCAGGTATGTGAGTCCCCTCCTGGGGGTCCCCGGTCCCCCCCGCCCTCAGCAAAGGACCAAGGGGGTCCCGTGTCCCCTCCTGGGTGGCTGGGGGGGGTCCCTTGTACCCTCAGGGGGGGCCTATGTCCCCTCCCAGGGGACTGAGCAGGGACGCTTGTCACCTTAGGGGGGCTCCTAGTCACCTCCCATCACTCAGGGTCCCTTGGGGGGGTCTCATATCCCCTTTGGAGTGTCCCACATCCCCTCCCATCACTAAGGGTCCCCTTGGGGGGGTCCCATGTCCCCTTTGAGGTGTTCCCAGTCCCCTCCCATCACTCAGGGTCCCTTTGGGGTGTCCCACGTCCCATTTGGGACAGTCCCATGTCTCCCAGGTGGGTCCACGAACCCTCAGTGCCCCTCTGGAGCCCCGGGGGGGACGCTGCTACCCTGGGGGTGGGAGGGTGACACTGCCTTGTCCCTGTCCCCAGAACACAGCCAGCCTGGAGCAGTTCGAGCGCATCCGCACGCTGGGGACGGGCTCCTTCGGGCGCGTCATGCTGGTGCGGCACAGGGACACGGGCCACCACTACGCCATGAAGATCCTCGATAAGCAGAAGGTGACGGGGACATTCTGGGGGGGCTGCGGTGGCACCTGGCCACCCGCCGGCATTGAGGGGGACCGGCGGTGGCAGCTGTGGGGGGATATTGGCATCCTCAGGGTGGGGGGGATGCTGGTGTCATCGGGTCTGGGGGGACTTCAGTGTCCCCAGGATGGGGACACATATGTTGATGTCATTGGTCTTGAGGGGACCTTGGCGTCACCAACACGGGGGGGGGGGCATTGGTGTCCCCAGTATGGGGTAGGACACTGATGGCATTGGGTCTGGGGGCACCTCAGTGTCCCTAGTGTCCCCAGAGTGGGGGGGGCACCCTGGTATTCTCAGTCACAGGGGGTGATCATGGTGTCCCCAACGTGGTGGGGGGTGTACCTGATGTCCCCAATGTGGTGGGACCATAATGTCCTTGGTCCTAGGAGAACCCAGTGTCCCCAGCATCAGTGGCAGGGGGACATGCTGGTGTCCTTGCTGTTCCCAGCCTGGTGGGAGAGGCTGTCCTCAGGGGTGTCCCGGCTCTCCCTGGGGGGTGTGTGTGTGACATGGAGTGTCCCCAAGGGTGACAGGGTGTCCCCGCAGGTGGTGAAGCTGAAGCAGATCGAGCACACGCTGAATGAGAAGCGGATCCTGCAGGCTGTCACCTTCCCCTTCCTCGTCCGCCTCGAATACTCCTTCAAGGTGGGGACCGAAGTCACTGTTACCTTCCCAAGGTGGTCCCCAGGGCCCCAGGATCGTCCCCGGGGTGGTCCCCATCACTCTCATGGTGGTTCCCATCACCTCCAGGATGTCCCCATGGCCGCAGCATGGTCCCCATCACTCCCAGTTTGCCCCCGCTATGGTGTCCCCATCTCCCTAAGATGGTCCCATCATTCCCAGAGTGTCCCCTGTCCTGCCAGGGTGCCTCCCAAGTCCCCTGAATGTCCCTCCATCACCCCTGGGATGTCCCCACCTTTGTGGAAGGTTCTCCAATACCCCACGGTGTCCCATTGGGATGTCCCCGGGGTGTCCCTTGTCCCCCTTGGATGGTTCCCAGGGTGCCCCCCATTCCCCTTAGGTGCCCCCCATCACTCTCAGGCTGTCCCCTCGGATATCACCTGTCCCCCTGGGATATCTCCCGTCCCCCTCGCGTGGTCCCTGGGGGTGTCCCCCATCCCCCTCAGGTGGTCCTGGGGGTGTCCCCCATCCCCCTTGGATGGTCCCCCGTGTGTCCCCCATCCCCTTTGGACGTCCCCCGTCCCCCCCGGGCTGTCCCCAAGGTGTCCCCTGTCCCCCGTGGACGTCCCCCGTCCCCCTCCGGCAGGACAACTCCAACCTGTACATGGTGATGGAGTACATCCCGGGGGGGGAGATGTTCTCCCACCTCCGCCGCATCGGCCGCTTCAGGTGAGCAGAAGGCTGGGGGGTCCTGAGGGGGTCCCAGGGGAGGGTCAGAGGGGTCCCAGGGGGTCTCTGGGTCATCCTCGGGGACTTCTGGAGGGTCCCGTGGAGGGTTTGAGGATGGTGGGGGTCCCAGGAAGGGTCTTGGGGGCTTTGAGGGGTCCCAGGAAGGGTGTTGGGGAGCTCTGAGGGGTCCTTGGGGGGGCCTCAGTGGGGATTGGAGAGGTCCCATGGGGTCTCTGGGTGGTCCTTGGGGACTTCTGGGGGTTCTCAGGGGGGTTCTAGGGATTGTGGGGGTCCCAGGAAAGGTCTTGGGAGGTTTGAGGGGTCTCAGGAAGGGTGTTGGGGGGGTCTGGTGAGGGGTCTGAGGGGTGTCCTTGGGGACTTCTGGGGATTTTCAGGGTTTCTGGGGGGGTCTCAGAGGGGTGTCTCTGAGCGTTGTGGGGGTCCCAAAGGGTCTCAGGGAAAGGTTTTGGAGGGTCCGGGGCAGGGGGTCCTCAGGAAGGATCTTGGTTGGTTCTGAGGGTCCCTGGAGGGTCTTGGGGGTCTCTGGGGTGTTCTGGGGGGGTCTCTGGTAATTGTGGGGGTGACAGGGGATGCAAGGGGGTCTTAGAAAGGGTCTTCAGGGGGGAGCTGGTGGGTCTCTGGGGCCTCCCAGGGCATCCTTGGGGACTTCTGGGGATGTCTGGAGGGTGGGGGGGGGTGTCTCAGCCCCCTTCTGTCCCCCCCAGTGAGCCCCACGCCCGATTCTACGCGGCCCAAATCGTGCTGACCTTTGAGTACCTGCACGCGCTCGACCTCATCTACCGCGACCTGAAACCTGAGAACCTGCTCATCGACCAGCAGGGCTACATTGAGGTACCCCAAAATAGCCCCCTGGACCCCCCAAATCCCCCCACACCCCTCCCGATACCCCCCACTGCCCCAAACCTCCCCCAAAGCAGCTCATGACCAGCAGGGATGTGTCGAGGTACCCGAAACAGCCCAAATACACCCAAAAACCTCTCCTGACACCCCCTTTAATCCCTTCAAGTACCTCCTAGGCACCCCAAAATACTCGAGGCATATCCTAGAGTAAACACACAGCCCCCCGCAAGGTACCAAAACCACCCCAAATACATCCCAAAAGCCCATTGACACACCCCCCCCGGTACCCCTG